CCAAGGTCATATCTTCTCACGATTATTTCTGCCAAACATTAAACACCTGGTCGACCATACTCATGTCAGAATGAGGTCACGTATAGGTCAAGTTCATATGGAATCTACGACAGAATCGGTCCAACAGTTTCCTAGATACAGGTCTTGAGAAATTGCCAAGGTCATATCTTCTCACGATTATTTCTGCCAAACATTAAACACCTGGTCGACCATACTCATGTCAGAATGAGGTCACGTATAGGTCAAGTTCATATGGAATCTACGACAGAATCGGTCCAATAATTTCCTGGATACAGGTCTTGGGGAATTCTCAAGGTCATATCTTCTCACGATTATTTCTGCCAAACGTTAAACACCTGGTCGACCATACTCATGTCACACTGAGTTCAGGTATTGGTCAAGGTCATATGGATGCCAAGACAAAATCGGTCCAATAGTTTCCTAGATAAGGGTCTTGAAATATTCAAGGTCGTATATTCTTATGTCGAGGTCATGTAAAGACCACAACAAGATCAAGCAAATTGTTTGAGAAATATTGTCCATAAACGTTTGAAGGTCATTCGAAGTAAAATTTTGTCAGGCATAATCAAAGGGAATTGAAGGAATCTGAGTGACATTGCACACATCATTTCGAGGTTATGTTAGGTTCGGTTGGGTTAGGTTGAGTTAGGTTAGGTTAGGTTATGTTGGTTTGTGTTAGTTTAGGTTAGGTTGGTTTAGGTTTGGGTAGGTTAAGTTGTGCCAGGTTAGGTTAGTTTAGGTTGAGTCAAGCTTGGTTATGGTGCTTTTGGGTAAGTAAAGTTAATTTAGATTAGGTTAGTTTAGGGCAGGTCAGATCAGTATGTGTTGGATTAGGGTATATTACGTGATAACCGTGCCGCTGAAATTTCGAAACTGTATTTTGTACATCAGTGGTCCCCAACCTTTTTGTGCCTACGGGTACATTTGAGAGTTTATGAGATCGTGGCGGGCACCAACCAATTAACAAAGCCAAGTTTTCTTTTCTCTGGACAAATAAGATATGGACACCAAATAATACACAAAACAACACGACGTTTAATAATACAAGAAACCATACAATCAAAAATACGTACTTTTATAAGTACAATTTTTATTACTCAAGTGGGAATTTAGTGTGATGTTTGGTACTGCATTTCATCGGCCAGTTTTTCAGATTTGGGAGTGTAGGATGATGTTGCTACTCGCAAACAATCGTAAAGATGGGCATTAATAAGTCGAGATCTGCGCTTTGATTTTATAATGTTCATGGTTGAACGGCCTTCATTATTCAGTATAACCTCTTTCCGTAACAACGCGGGCACCCAAAAAAGCCTTGGCGGGCGCCATGACCCCCGCGGTCTCCGCGTTGGGGACCACTGATATAGACAGTCCAGTTACACTAGAAACAACAGGATTTCTCATTTATTGAAATAAAATAATGTGCTTCAATTTAAAATATCGTTTCAGGTGTTTTATTTCCAGCTAACACTCCATAGTTAAACAGTGATTTGCATTGTGATTCCTTCTTTGCAGAAACTGTGTAGTGGGCAAGAACTACGTAGTGAAGATCTCAGATCACGCCATGTATTGCGGCCAATACGAGGCTGATTATTATGTAAGCGACACAAAGTCACGACTACCAATCAGGTGGATGGCTTGGGAGAGTTTGCTTTTGGTGAGTACGCTTTACCGTTTCAAACACCGTAGCCTGTTCTGCTGTTAACGAAGAACTTACCCTCATTCGTAAGACATTTATTACAAACCAAAGACAGGTTGGCCATTTACGTAAAATGTTCATTCCAAAACGTGGCAATATTCACATAAATTATTAATAATGATATGACGCCTTACTGATAGATAAACCATTGCCGTATTTGCGGGAGTCAAAATACGTTTGCTCACTTCACGTGTCAGACAAAAACTAAACTTCTAGGCATTGTTATTGGCAAACAACTGACTAAATCTGACCTTTACATTGGAGAGGTTAGGAACGTGTGTAGGCAGCCCTTAACAATTAACACCTGTCGGAACAGTCGATGTGAAACAGATCGACGAATCACTTACACGTCGATAAACCAAGTTGTGTAATTCCATTTCGCCTTAATAGTTTCCGTGCATTCAAATTACCAAACCCGTCAGTTTCGCATTCACAAAGGATTTTAAACTTTCTCAGAATCTCAGGCCAATTAAAAATTTAGTGTTAGAATCTGCGTAGACATAAAAAAAGACTTCAGGTGTGAATCTTAGATATAAAAATATTTTTCGCCTCCACGAAGTAGCAGAGCATTTGTGTAAGCGTTTGTGCTAATTTGCTGCCCTGTGTCCCGAAGCTGCCATTACTAACATATTTGATCTTTGTCATGGCACAGGGCAAACAGAGCACAAAAAGTGACGTCTGGTCCTTCGCAGTGACGCTATGGGAGATCCTGATGCTATGTGGTCAGCAACCTTTTGCCGAACTGACTAGCGAGCAGGTGGTAGAGAACTGTAACCACTGGTATCAAAACGATGGTCTCCAGCGATATCTGTCTCGCCCTCCATCGTGTCCGCGCGAGATCTATGACCTCATGGGTGAATGTTGGAAAAGACACGAAGCCGACCGCCCTCGTTTCGGCGAGATACATCTTTTCCTCCAGAGGAAGAACCTCGGTTACGTCCCCGCCAACGGTTAAGTAACTGAAGAGTTGTAGGGTGTTAATTTCTTCATATCTCATAAAATATCTTGGGTGTAGTTCAAATGAAGAAACACTTCAAACCCTTCGTTTTTACACGAGATACGAGAGTGTTCACAGGAGTGTCATTTGAAACAGACAACAAAAGAATGCACTAATATTTCTTTGCCTTTGGAAATCTGAGGCATTCTAACGAAAACCACTGTTGTGTGGGACCACTGGAAGATGACATTGCGTCTTCAAACATTTTCTTTTCTCCCCTGTACGACTTTTGATATAGCTCGTTCAAATTACTTTCTGTGAATTACTTTTCGTGAATGTATTTGTTTTCTCCCTTCAGAAGTAAGAAAATATATAGATGATATATAAATTACCTGCCCTCTTAATTTTTATTTAGATTTAAAATGTGTATCAAAGTTGGATTGTGAAGTTGTGTTTTCTTTGACATAAAAATAACTTTAAGGATGTTTCGGTTGGAATGTATCATTCAAGACATTTCACATCGAGTACTTAACAATATCAGAGTGTATTGTGTTCCAAGTCGAAAGCAGAAAACGAACGAGACATCGATGTGGGTGCATCGTGTGGCAACGCTCATATTTTCTGTCGTAATGTAATTGGAATTTATTTCTTCAGATGTATAGTCAGTGTTCAGTTAAGCTCAGGGTGACATGTCGTAAGACTAACAAGGATTGTTTTGTTGATTTATAGTTAAATTGTTGCACAAACTGAGCTTTGAACGGAATTGGTCTGAAAGTTGGACAAAAAACTAAGATGCAATTAATATTTTTCACTTTAAATAACTGGTGTTACAACGTCAGACGCTGAGATACTTCAAAGAGTGAGGCGGTGCACAGATTTAAATGGCCATGATTTAATCTCTGTGTCAATGTATTGAAGATTACTTGGAAATCTTTTGGCCGAGGGAAAATTTGTGTGGAAAGTGTTGATTCGTTATTTAGATGTAGTCTCCACTTCAACCTGCGACAACTATTTTCTTCTCCCTGATAGTCACAATAATCACATGTTTATTTAATAATCTGTCGTGCTCTTTATAGGATAATGATGTTGATAAATAAGATGTAACTATTTTTCACGTCTTGTGTGATCATTCACTCTAGTGTCTTTCTCGCGTGTGGACTGGGAGTTACGTGACTGCGATCCCGTTGACAAAGAACCGGTCGTTCAATCGCGGAACTTAACAAAAATATTATTACATTACGCGTTCTTTATCAATTTGTTGGTTGACTGTGTGTGCATCGATTCTGTAATCGAGGGAGTGAGTCTCGAATTCTGTCATCATGAAATAAAGACCTGAAGGTAGGGTTACGTTCTCACATATGCACACACAAAAATGTAAATATACAGAAACGAGGACAACTGAAAAAAATTTTTGCACCGACATGATTGATTATACGTATATTTTCTTGGTTCGTAGATAGTAGAGGATATGAAGTTTAGAAATATAGGAAGACATAATCATCAGGAATACACTGCAGTGAGGAACGAAATTTAGTTATTATTATAATAATAATTATTATACGATTATAAATTCCAGAATATTAAAAATGGAAATAGCTCAATTTTTAGATGTATGCATTTTTATGAGTGTGTGTCAAATTATAAATTGGTTTAATATTATCGATTACATATACATCTGTCAAAGATGCTAATATAAGTTTCTACAATGTTAACTTGGCCTATACTGTGCGTAAGATTTGGGTTATAAAATGGTACTTAACTTACTTGTGTGTAATGTAATATGCTTGTGTGGAGATACACGAACTTAGCGAACTGAACTTGTGTAGTAGTGAACTCTGTCTTCGGAACGTACGTTCATAGAATGACGGAAGTTTGAGAGCTGGAGAGAGACTTTCGTTCCCACTCTTTTGACAGCGATGGTTGTGATGCGAAGGCAAGCGTGTGCAACGGGTAGCCTAAACTTCGCGGCGATTCAACAGTTCACTTGAAAGCTTTTATAATTACTCTCAAAAGCAGAATTTCCAGTGAATTATCACATCACATAATATATTATCCACCTTTAACAAAAGGGCAAGAATTGTTAATGAGATTACTTCCTACGAGTGATTGTTAGAAACATTTATCATAGATGTGTTTCGTGAAAAATAATAAATAAATAAATTTTAAAGAAAATTATGTCTCGTATAAGAACTCAACATATTTTTCCGATGTCAGTGATTATTACTTTTAGTGATAAAACGTGATTATGTATGAGAACAATCCAACGTTATGTTGACAATCTTTCTCTATTGGTACGGTCGGACTGATCTGGATATTACGAACTGGAGGAGCTGTAGATGAATGCATTTTTTTAAAAGCACGTGTCCTGTGAATAATCATCACCATCATAATTATTATTATAACATGTTATTGTGGTATTATTTTAGTGTTAAGTATTTTGAAATATGCCACAGACCTCACTTGGCTATAGTAGTAACTCTTCCTTATTGTAATTAAAATCATCCCTTAAAATATCGGCGTCTGAACACAGCAGAAATTCCTATTTCGGTGCAGAAACGTCTTCAGCAGTCAGTGGCTAGTCTCTTATCCGTATTCATTCTCTTTTTGTGCAGTTTCTGTCTGTCTGCGTGGAAAACCGAAATGATTCACATCAAATGCTACTGTTTAATGACATACGTGCAGCAGTTCTGTAGGCTGGTTAAATTTTATAAATACTAATCAGGTGAAAGATTGCATTGGGAACAATACAAATGTGAATAAACTGTCTTCTGGGATTCTGCTCTGTGTAAACGTACTACAATTTACTGACGTCTAAGACGTGTTTACTGCATGTATCATAAAGTCACCCTGATGATGGAATCAGTAAGCACCTCTGAAACGTCGGATAATATGTACCAGACTACACGGCGCAATATCCCTGAAGACATCCATACTGCTGCTCGTCGTCGTGAGAATCTGAATCTCGCCATCAAAAATACGTCATTATAAAAGTGAGTTTCGTTTCGGTTCGTTTATTTTTATTTATTTTATTTTTGCCTACCTCATAATAGAGAATTTGAAACCAGTGGCTTTAGTTACTTTCGAAACTTTTTTAATAATGACATAACGTTGAAATTTCCTTATAATATATTCATATTCTTACGTCATATTCATTCTGTAAATGATTATATCTGACAAAACTTTTAGTAAAATAGGTGGGACCAGTATATTAACGGCAGATTTTATTTGATTAAGCTTTTGATTGCGTTTAAATAATAATATAATAGTTTTATGCTGTAGAATACGAAAAAGGCAAAGCCAGTTGTTATTAACTCCGAACCGTTTGAATGTAACACTATCGTCATTTTTAACGCGTAATTGCTGTTACAAATTTCCAGTTCCCAGGCAGACCCTGTCATTAGTCTGAGTGTGGGGGTTATATTATATAATATGCGTAAGAAATCCAAATCAAGGAAATGCAGTACATTCAGCTATTGTATAAAAAGCATAATCTCAAAGTAATACTTTATGATATGACCAATAATCGGGCTTTCCTGAACGCACTGGCCGGAAAAATTATGATGTCACAACCAAGATGAATACGAAAAGTGAAATTAGTATCTGTGGCATCTAAGAACAAAGGTAAATGTGATATGACACCGAAGTCACACCGGATGCCTAATATTTCTTCTGTAGATGTGCGTATCTGAAATTTGTGTTATTGAATGGAAAAGCATTTGGAAACTACAGGGGTAGATAGCTATTAGCTCTAGTGGAAGAAATATTTTCTTTGATCAGAAATTGTCATAAAACAAAAGAAATATTTTCTGTATTAAATGCCTGTGCTGCATGTTAGTGATGGAAGTATTAAAATAAAGACTGCCGGCCCCTTTCACGAGAAAATGCACAGAGAAAATTAACATTGTTATTAGACATTATTTATTAACAATGTTAAATTTATTAAATATGTTAATCATAATATCTACTTACGGATATTCTACTTAACCATACATATTAGCGAATTAAAGTTGTAGAAAATAAATTTACTTATAAGGTAATAATTATTCGATAAATACTACTCCGAACCTACTTTTGTCTGATAAAGAATACAAAAATATTTGACTGAAATTATTTTCTTCCGTAATGTAGTCCTTCACTATATAGCACAATGGTAATCATTTTACTTTTAAATAATGTTTAATAACAGCGTTATGTAACGTGTCTTTGATTCTTCGTAAGATTTCAAATAAATCTTATTTTCACAGAAGGCAAGGATTGGGCTTCAACGTGAGTAAGCAGGCATAATGCGATTAACAGTGGAATGTTCTAAATACGAAGGAAGCTGTCTCCATAAGTATTTCAGTTTTGCCTCCGAAAGAAAATTTATTCTAAATATTAAATGTTTTATATGTAATAATAAACAGGATTTGTATTTTAGCACACCTGTATATGCGTGAACTAGTACTGCCACTGAGAGTAACGTGATTTAGGAATAACGTTTTGACCTCTACACGCTTTACAGAAAATCTGATGTATATTTAATTTCACGTTTTGTAATCACAGAGTGTCTTAGGCGTTATAACGAAAAAAATTTGTGGCACTTTTTATGCATAAGTTTCGATCATATTCAACTTTTGATTTATCCTTAATGCTTAAAATGCTTGTTCGATTAATATATAGCGCGAATGCTTTTAACTAACGGATGGATATTATTTTTAAATATTTAATAGGACGTGTTCAGTTTATTTTACAATTTACCTTCAGTTGACACCACGTCCGATAAAGGAATCCTCCTCGATTTAATTCTTTCTAAGTCGATATATTTTAAAAGATCGATAGTACATGCCGACAAAGCATATCCAACTTAACTAGATTTAATTTAATCGATTTGTCAATCTCTGTATAGGCCTACTTCCCAGTACGAAACGAGAGGAACACTGTTCTTCCCATTGCCACGTGACAATCAAGTGCAGTGGAATGCTACGACGTAGTTACTAGTCACTATTATTAAATAAATGTGTTTCTTCGTTCTAAAATATTCAAATAATGATGGCTGTTAATTTTCTACAGCAGGTCTCTATACTGCGTGTTGTTCCATTAGTTTATTGGGATGCTAAATACATACATATTATCCCATTATTGTAATAATCACGACACTCATTTCAGTGTTTCAATACATATGGATAAAATGTTATTGTTTGTAAATAAATGTCACAATTTGGCCATTCCATTTGATCTCTTTCCTGAAGAAGATCAATGATATAGAAATTGTCGTCATTTTAAATTTATAAGTGAAAAGTCATGTGGTTTTTAGTACTGATCTAAATAATATTTTAAGTATGTTTTTATGTATGTTTAGGGCCTAATATTTTGACTTTAAGATTTATAGATATTAGTAATTCACTCAAATATTATGTTGATATTTGTATGAAAGAAACATGTAATTTGTATCACATCTTCCCATTTCATAATTAAAGTTATCTGTTGCAGCATATTTTGTGACTGGTGCAAAAGGTCTTGGTATATTTGCCATTTTGGTTATCACGATATATTTGAGTTTTATTTATCGTACGTTCCCCTATTTACATTTAGTCTGTATTACATTATGTTACAATAGCGTTAATGTTTTCGCACAATTATTCCTCGTGATCAGGACTTTTCCATGGTGTGATCGTATTGGTGAACATAAAGCCTGCGTTTGTGTTCACGTTTTTCAGACTCTCTACAATGAATAATTCTAAGAACTATCATCTATGAACAACAAGAGATATATCAGTCGATTACATTGAGGTCTTTTTACGTCATGACTATCCACGCTGAGGAAAGACAAATCATTTTGAGTTTTAAGTCTGATGCTTTGAAATTACCTGCAGATGAATAGATTCTTAGTCACTGACGTTCTAACGCCGTCGTATAAGAGACTCCATGCTACAACGTAACATGTTTGATGATGCCCTAAAATGATAGACCTTTAGCACCAGTCAAAGACACGTTGTTGCTAATAGAAGCGGCCTTCATCATTAATGTATATGGAGAGAAAAGTTATGGCTGATGATGTCAAAACTTGGATGAATGTTGTATACTAAAGAGTGATTGAAGAGAAAAATATTGATTTTATTTAATTTTGCATGTTTCTCATCTAGACATATCACAACTGAAGAAACTCTAGAAAGGAAAGACTATACCATGCACTATTTTACAACATAGATGTAAAAGAATAAAGTGCCACAATAATACAATTGAAAATGCTTTTTGTATTCTTAAATGTCGATAATAAATGTGTTGACAAACAACGTTCATTAAGTTAGTTTTCTATGAAGGCTTAATGAGAAGCAGTTTTCCAGTTCACTTCTTTTATTTAATATTAATTTATGTTTTAATGTTCTTCCTTATGTTCAGTCCCCTTTGCAGAAGTTTGCTCAAAATACACTCCGTTAACAAGTTTCAGAGTTACAACGTAATTTTAAAAAGAACTTTTAAAAAATACGTGTATATATATATGTTCGCTTATGCCTCTATAAGAGATCCACTAATTTGCTCCAAACTTGGCATGCCTATGCCTTGAATTTAGAACACTATTTTAGGAACGTCACAAACCCGAAGAACGCAAATATTATTTTGGGTTCGAGTCCCGGTGAAGGTTTCTGTAACTATGAACCTAAGCACGATAGAATAATAGCACCAAACACAATTTTCTTTTCGACGGAAAGATTACGGGAACAAAATCCACAACTCAGAAAAGTATCCAAGGTTTGAGTCTCGGTGAAGACGTTCGAATTTCCCTGCAGTAATACTGCGAAAGCTCCTTAAGTATGACATAAATTAAAATATCTGTAATTTTTGCAGTTTATAGGTTGATCTATTCTGTGGAAACATTATATGTCCATATCAGTACCGTACCGCAAAAAAATGTAACCTGATGGTTAGCATTAGAAATAATTTTTCACACAGAACTTTTGAAAGTCGGAATACTTGGACAAATTTGAGTGGGGCAGAGTACATTTTTTATGCAGTATAAACTAAACTGGACTGGGGTAGACTCAGGAAAACTATTCTAGTTACTACGGGGAAATTCATTTTGATATGCCACTATTTAATGAAAATGGAAATTGTGTTGTACGATTGCTCACCGTGTTAAAAATCTGAAACTACAGCATGAAGGGTGCGAGCCAGAGAGAGAGAGAGAGAGAGATAGAGAGATAAATCGAACTGTGCGGTTATTCTGGTTCGCCAACGTAACTGGCACAAGTAATCTATCATTCTCTTGGACCGGCGACGCTGACAGAAGTACAGCTAACACCCTAAGTTTCTCGTCACTGTGATATACTGTAAACTAATTGGACCAGCAAATACTGTGTGAACTGACAGACAATCAAGGTAATAACAGCTTGTGTAAATAACATTTTTTTAAAATCATGAGTATAAATATTCAAAAACGAGGAGTCCATCACAATGTTTTAATCGCTCAGGTAGTGAAGAAGTGACCTGACTTTTATGGGACTCTCGCATTTATTTTGGTGTTCACAGGAGCGCATCAACGTTACCTATTCTAAAACTGACGACTCCACTCCACAAAGTCTCTTTCCGTAAGATCCACTTTAATATTATCATTCAATGTATTCCTAGTTCTTCCTAGTGAGTAATCTATGTGTTTCAGGCTTCCCAACCAAAAATTTTGGAAGCATTTCTTATCTCCCTCACGCATTGGACTGCCCCATCCGTCTATACCCCTTGATTTGATAAGTCTAACAATATTTGAATTACTTATTACAGCTAGGATTATCTCTTATTTTGTCTCGGTTGAGCAGATAATGTTATTCGTTTAACGGTTATATCCCATACTCTAAATCACTCAATTTACATTTAACAAACTGCGCTGATAACGCGTTTGTTAATATGGTTAACAGAAAGTAGAAACTGAATTTTATTTATTTATTTATTTAGTGTTCTGTCTGACGACAGGTCCATATGAACAGGATCCTTCCATCCTTTTCTCGGACTGGGACCTGTTCATATACGTTCTTGGCAGATGATCCAAAAGTGGTTTGCCAT